TCTTGAAAAAACCCAAATGCGTAAGCGGTCGTTGTGAATGCAGCAAATTTCAGACGTAAACGAAACGCGTGATGTATATTCAAATTTCGCACCTAAACAAATTATTTATATCGATTTCAAATTATTTTTATCGCAGACTTGCGCGAAACGCGAGTCCAAGAGGTGGGCAAGGTTTTTGGACCGTCTAGACTCTAGACCGTCGGGCCACGTAGGTGTGACGCAAAGTTTTGTTAACATTCCAACAACATGAGAGTCTGTGCCAACCTAAATTACAGTCTGTGAAAGTTGCATAATCTAACAAGTCTATTGCCCCATACATATTTAAATATTCATAACTAAGTAGTACATGCAGAATTGGCTAAAAGTCATGGCAGCATCAAGCCGGCCAGAATGATTCACCAAAGAAGCCGGATTTGACCCACTCGCTGTAATTGGCCTATGTCAGACTAAGACCAAGAGAGAATTGCAGTGGGCTCTCTTTTTCGATCAGCAAAATATCGTTACTCTGATGTTGCTACTGGTTGACATCGTTGACCAATCTAGAGAGGGTTTGATGTATTGCCGTGTTCATCACGCATATTAACTGGCGGTTGTTTCAGGATTATATCACGCCTCAGCGAAATGAAAAACCAGTAATTCATTACGTCGTGTTTTCGATTCCATCCCCTTTGAATGAACCTGCAGCCAGTAATGATTTAAGTCAGTGTTCTTCCAATTTTCTTTATCACGTTCCAATCGGCGCGACCAATATTTTTATATGCCTATCGGATAGGATTAACATATTTTTTTCAGAGGAGAGGCACACATGGGATGAGTTGTCATTTATTTTTATTCGGAATTATGGACTTGATGAGAGAGGATGCCGAAATCACCAGAGGCTGCGAGGAGTCCAGCAATCCTCATTTCGCTTAATATCCTTCCTTCATCATAAAACATTTTAATGTTAATGAAATATAGCCAACAACTACGACACCACTAAAATTGAAGATATCGGCATTCTCTTTATATAAATGAAAATCTCACAAACTTTCGTAGTAATCTCCTTTATAATGCCAGACTGACTGAAAAATCGAAAATGTTCGAGAGATTCTGGACAACAAATGGCAACTTCTATATGAGAAACACCAAAGATAGTCCAAGAATCCCAATGAAAAATCTGACAGACCTAGGTAAACTATCATAAATTCATTTTGAAAAATTCATATTTAGTATAATAGCTTTGCAAAATGGCTTCTCAGCTATTTTGTTTGCTCAAATACTTGTGGCAGTATTTTCTGTCCAAATTGTTTAAAAAAATTTTTTCCTTTCAATAATTGTCCATATACAATAGACGAGGAACTCATGACACCTCAAATTTTAATTATGATGTCGAGCCTTGTCTTTCACTTGAAACTGTAGATAGTGTCCTGAATACTTCCTGAACAAAAGATGTAGTGTGTTCGCTTTAACATTCGACTACAAAAGCACGTTGACGAGTTATCCAATATCATTGTTGATCTAGATCAGGAGTGGGCACGGTTTGACTGGCGGGCCATGTAAGTGTGACGTGAAAAGTTACATTTTATAAACAATATTCACAGTGTTACAAAAGCAACAGTGAAAACAATAAGCCTCGTGCCAAAACTAAATTTAACCGCAATCTCAACAAATTCCTTGGGTTATTTTTAGTTAAAACGTCAAATTTTTGTTTCAGTATGGTTGTGGCAACATCAGGCGGGCCAAATTGAATTACCCAACGGGCCGAATTTGGCCCGCGGGCCGTACTTTGCCCATGTCTGATATATACGGTACGGTCTAATCTAGATTCATCCCATAGTTCTCAGCCAGTGAGCCATGACCCACTTCTAGGCAACAGGAACATTTTCGGGTGCGCCACAAGACTTTTAAAAATCATTATAGAGTTGTTAATAAATTTGATGGTTGTAGCTATGAACGATGCAGGGTAGCAATTTTCTCCTAATTAATTTTTAAAGTAAAAGTGTCCATTTTTGCAGAGAGAACTCTTTGTTTGTCTTGTTTTTACCTAGCATGAACAACGTTAATGGGCCACGGGATTGTTGTGCAACGAAAATGGGCCACAAGAGAAAGAAGGTTGAGAATCACTGCCTTAGTGCAATAGCTCTTTCAGAAACGAAACTTTAAACTGATACCACAGTAAACATGAATATTAAAGGTTACAATTTCTTCCACACACCAACAACAACTATTCCTGGAGGGGTGGGTTTATATTTAAATTAAAATCTTTTGCCGGTCGATAAATATATGTTGGGTATCACCTATTGAGAAGATCTGTTGGTAGAAAATACCTATTAAAGCTGGAAAATTCTCTTCAATCATTGTCGGAGATGTATATCGTCATCCAAGCTCCAGTGAATCAGATTTTTGAATGAACTTAGCAATTTGTCCATTGATAAAAAGAATGTAATATTAGTTGACATAAATATTAACCTATTTAGTTCCAAATTTACCAAAGATTTTCTTGACATGCTGAGGTCCCATGCTGCAATTCCACTGATTACACACCCGACGAGAAAAATTACCATTCGAATTGGGTGGGATTCAAATTTTTCGTCAGCTGGTTCCATCACACAAATGTCATATTGTTCAGCCGGTTCTGTTACAAAAAGTCATGTTTTTTTTAAGTAATGTCAACCGGTTCGCTAATCTTATAAACGGTGCGAACCGGCTGAATCCCACTACTGATCACAACCCTCGACATCTATGGTGTCGCTGGCACGATGACTTGATTGTCTTTTGCGGTTCCTTTTTAATTGCAGTGGAAAAATTGTGTGTTTGTTGTTTTTTCCTTTTGCCTTGATTTTTATTGTTTGTGTTTACAATGTTTTTTGCACGACGAAAATAAATTATCTGAATCTAGCCAATTTTTGGTCAATTTAACCCTTTCCGTGCGGTGGGCACGTATACGTACCCACGACAAAACTCGCTAGATTGCGGCGGGTACGTTGATGTACTCCACTGTTTTATTTAGCAATCGGTCGAAAACTGTTGGTCTAGTTTTTCTGGGTTTTAGTTTATTGATAAGAAGTCTTCTTCGAGATTAACATAAGCGACGGTAAATCTCGCTTTCGTTTACCATGGGAATTTTATTTGCGGCGGAACGAGGGAGTGTTTTTTGGGTAGTAATAGAAGACATATTATCCCTTCCATCTACCAAAGTATTTTGAGTTAGATAACGAAATTGCTACAGCAATATTATGCTATTGTTTGCCAACCAAGAAGCGGTAACAGTGAAGGATTTAGCAAATATTTCTATTTTTTATCACGGTTTGAAGTTTCAACACTCAAGAAAAAAAAATCCGGTTTGTGACTCAGACCACCCCTTTTGAAAAAAAAAAATTTTTAATCGCCAATTGCAAGCTCTTTAAATAAGCTTTCCAACGAGCCGTCAGTGGGCAGCAGAGGATCATTACTTTTTCGTTAGTCGATCGATTAGTTGTGGGGGTACAAATGCATAAAGTCGGCGTAGCAAATACGATTATTTAATAAAAATTAAAAATCGCATGGAAAGGGTTAAAATTAAACATGCGTCATCATAACCAATACTAACTAAAACGTGACATGAGAAATTTTGATGCCGCAGACTTTGCTCGAGACCTTCCTAACCAAAGTCCACAGTCTATGCAGTGAACATGCACCACTTCGTAAATTGACTAGAATAGAACGCCAACTAGAAAGGAACCTTGGATAACCACTGTTATTTTGCTATCAACCAAAGTGAGAGACAGATTTCACAAAACAAATTTTATCAATGGTTCCATAGAACAAAAACCTTTACTACAAAATGTACACGAACAAATTATGCCATCTAAAACATAAAGCCAAAGAGATACATTTTTCCAAATGCTTCGACTTGGAATATAAAACTCTAATTCTAGCAAAAATGTACCCCAGAAGCTAACCAATCAGCACTCTGGGGTGGTTATTCATGACAGTAGCAAAATTTCTACATAATCTATTGGTACTGCATTTGGTATTCGCATGTGATTTCTCAGAGTAAAACATAAAGCCAGATTTCTCCAGTATGCGTTCGCAAGTGCTTTTTCAAATGATAGCCTTGCAAAACCTTTCCCACGCGTATCACAAGTATGAGGTCTTTCTCCAGTATGGGTTCGTACGTGACAATCCAAATTACTTGGCCATGCAAAATCTTTCCCACATATTTCATAAGTTGAAGGGTTGAAATAAAATAATGAGAGTGAATTCATTGCTGGTACATGATATAAAAAATTAAAAATGGGAGGACTATACATGTAAAACACATACACGATAATATACAATGTAACAGGGCAAAAATGTTTCATTACTTTTGGAGCAGTATTACCAAGTTAATGGAAAAATAGTAAACTCAAATGATCAATAGGTTACATCTGCTTATCATCTGTTTCTATCTGAAAAATTCATATTGTTCTAGTAAAATAACAACTAAGGTAAAACAATGCTTGATGGAATCAGACCTCAGATCAGAATCAATAATAAAAAAAGGTTTTACACCTTCATGTGTCTCTAAGTAATTTATCTAGCAAAATCTTTTTCGTATATTTTACAACCATGAGGTTCTTCTCCAGTATGCATTCGCATGTGTATTTTAAATTACCTGTCCTGGCAAACTCTTTCCAACATTTTTCAGCACAAGAGATTTTTTCCAGTATGTGTTCACATGCAAAATTTTTCCCACATGTTCATCACTTGAAAAAGAATAAATATCCTGAGCTCAGTGACGGAAACTTCATTAGGACCGCGTTCAATACATGTGGTATTCTGCTCTTTCAAAATAATTTTCACATATTTCCCAAGCATGAGGTTTTCCCCCAGTATGCGTTTGCATGTGATTCAGCTTTGCAAAATCTTTCCCACATATTTCACAAGCATATGGTTTTGCTCCGGCATGCTTGTGAAATATGTGATTTTAAAAACTCACAGAAGAATTCATACCGGAGTATGCTTGTGAAATATGTGGGAAAGATTTTGCAAAGCTGAATCACTTGAAGAAGCACATGCAAACGCATACTGGAGGAACTTTAATTGTTTGATAGTTATGACCTTCCTAACGATGATTTGTCCTCTAAAAGTCCCAATTAGATGCAATAGACATGCGCCACTTCGCAAATTAACTAGAATAGAACGCCAACTAGAAAGGAACCCTGGATAACCACTGGTATTTTAGGTGAAAGACAGATTACACAAAACTCATTTTATTATTGGATCCATAGAACAAAAACTTACTACAAAAAGTACACAAAAAACTATGCCATCTAAAACATAAAGCCAAAGAAATACATTTTCCAAGTGCTTTTCGAAAAAAATATAAATGTCCCTAAATAGACTTGGAATATAATAAATTTATTGTTAAACTCTAATTCTAGCAAAATGTACCCCAGAAGCTAACTATTTACCACTCTGGGTAGTGGGGAGGTTGTTCAAGACCATTCCCATGTGATTTCTCAGAGTAAAAACTTTCTCACATATTTCACAAGCAAGAGGTCTTTTTCCAGTATGGGTTTGTATGTGACGTTTCAAATTACTTGGCCATGCAAAATCTTTCCCACATATTTCACAAGTATACGTTTTTTTCCAGTGAGGATTGGCATAATTGATTATTAGCATGCTTTGAAGACGAAGAAAGCATCTAGATCAGGGCGACTCAACTATTTTTTCCAAATGTCCGTATACAACCCTTCAAAATTAGTGAGGTACGGTCTTTTCAAAACATATATTTCACAGCGCGACTGAGTAGATTTTGGTGTCTCTAACTTTTAGGTTATACTGTTACAGAGTGATAAAATACCCTCTAAAAGTATGAATAAAAGTCAAGAAAACCTTCACATATCTAAAGTTAAAGAGGTCAATCCGAGTTGAATACCCAAAAGGTCCGGGTTTGTACGCCGCCCGCCAGTTCAGCAGCCCTGATCTGGATGATACAAAGAATGTATAACATACAATGTAAGAAGTAGAGCTCGACCGATAGCACTTTTTGACACCGATGACGATATATCGGCCAACTAGTGGCCGATATTTATGTAATTCATATATTAAGCCACAAAATGGGCTTTCAGGATGATTTTGATATCAATCTAGCTATTTCTAGAAAAAAGAATTGTTAATCTGACGTTTTTAAATTGTCACATATTTCTCCAATATGAATTCTCAAGTGGCGTTTCAAATGAAGCAGCTGTGTAAAATCTTTCTCACAGATTTTGCAAGCACAAGGTTTTTTTTCAATAGGACATCACATGTGAGCTTTTAAATTACTTGGTCATGCAAAATCTTTCCTTAATATTCCACAAGCATGGGGTTTTTCTCCAGTATGCGTTCGCATGTGCTTTATCAAATGATTCTGCCTGGCAAAACCTTTCCCACATTTTTCACAAGCATCTGGTATGGGTCCTTATGTGGCGATTCAAATGATGTATCCTCGCAAAATATTTCCCACATATTCCACAAGCATGTGGTTTTTCTCCAGTATGCGTTCGTATGTGCCTTTTCAAATCACCTGTCTCTGCAAAATCTTTTTCCAGTATGGATTCGTATGTGACGATTCAAATTACTTGGCGATGCAAAATCTTTCCCACATAATTCACAAGCATGAGGTTTTTCTCCAGTATGCGTTCGTATGTGCCTTTTCAAATCACCTGTCTCTGCAAAATCTTTCCCACATAATTCACAAGCATGAGGTTTTTCTCCAGTATGCGTTCGTATGTGCCTTTTCAAATCACCTGTCTCTGCAAAATCTTTCCCGCATATTTCACAAGCATGAGGTCTTTTTCCAGTATGGATTTGTATGTGACGATTCAAATTACTTGGCGATGCAAAATCTTTCCCACATATTTCGCAAGCATGAGGTTTTTCTCCAGTATGGATTCGTATGTGACGATTCAAATTACTTGGCGATGCAAAATCTTTCCCACATATTTCGCAAGCATGAGGTTTTTCTCCAGTATGCGTTCGTATGTGTATTTTCAAATCACCTGTCTCTGCAAAATATTTCCCACATATTTCACAAGCATGAGGTCTTTTTCCAGTATGGGTTCGTATGTGACGTTTCAAATAACTTGGCCATGCAAAATCTTTCCCACACATTTCACAAGCATAAGGCTTTTCTTTGGCATGGCTTTTTATATGATTTTTCAGGCTATTTGATCTTTCAAAATCTTTCCCACATACTTCACAAGCATGAGGTTTTTCTCCAGTATGCGTTCGCAAGTGATTTTTCAAATGATGCAGCCTTGCAAAACATTTCCCACACATTTCACAAGCATGAGGTTTTTCTCCAGTATGCGTTCGTATGTGCCTTTTCAAATCTCCTGTCCTGGAAAAATCTTCCCCACATATTTCACAAGCATAAGGTTTTTCTCCAGTATGGGTTCTCAAGTGGTATTTCAAGTTTCTAAGTGTTGCAAAATTTTTTGCACATACTTCACAAGTATGATGCTTTTCTTTAACATCATTCACACTGCAAAACGACGTACTTCCCCTGATCTCCATATCCATGTCGCCCAATTAAAAATATTTCGTTGTTGCGTCACTAATTTTCTATTTTACACAAAATTAACAGATATTAGACATTTTCCTTCAAATATCATTCAAACTTATCAATGTAATAAAAACATAGTAAACATATATCAACGGTGCTGGGCTATAGGATAGGATTTACATATTTATCCCGGGGAGAGGAAAGCCGATAAGACGGCTTAATCATATGACAAACCACGGCCTCTCGGGTATGGGATTGGTTAGCCAGTTATTTGTTTTCGGAAGCATGGACCCGATGGTGGAGGAAGCCGTAACCGACCAGCGGTTACGTGAACCACCCTACATACATTTGTTGCTCCAAGTTGTGGTAGAGGACTCATCATTCGAAGTTAGATATTTAGTTGCATAGTGATGATCAGATCGCAGAAAACTTGACAATTAGGACAGAAAAATAATCTGATAGACAATTATATGGGTGTACCGAGAATCACATCAATGTGATATATTCCAAGTTTAGCAAGAATTGGAGAAGTTATTCATGAAATATAGCTGCATCTGAAGTTACACGGTTTCATGGTATACCGGTACCGGTACCGGCACTTTATGTTCAATATCAAATTTCTCATTAAGTTCAATGGATAAATCAGGGACGGCGATTTGATTTCCTGACATCGCTCATCTTTCTGACTATAAGAATAAGACTCCATAATCAGCATGAAAGACGATTAAAAGTTGATAAAACAAATTAAAAAAACTGATTACAGAATCGGGAAAGAGAACAAAACCTTAAGTAAGGTTCAAGGTAAGGTAAGCTTTTATCCTTTTTTACTTACTGACTTAATACTGTGACCAGTTTGAGTTATACCGTAATGTTTGATTTGCTGGGTGTAGTTACAGAGTAAGGGTTCTGTACACTAATAATTGCAGTGTATTGGTGCCGGAAGGTTACGGTAATGTATCAGTATTTGTTGCTACTGTGGTGAATATCTAAATGTCCCATAAATCCATATTGATCTTTATATTATTGTATTTAAGCAACTCCTATGGCAGGCATGCTTAACCTTTTTCCTCTCGCGGGCCACTTTCACATAAGGAAATTCGTTGCGGGCCGCAAACATTTGTACCAAACTTTAATACTAACCAAGTCCTGATTTCGTTAGAATTTATATAATACATAAAAGGCAAGATTATTAGCCTAAAATCAATCACGTTAATAAATATTTACTGCATGGTTACTCATTAGTGCTGGCGAAATATTCGAATATGAAGTCGAATATTAAAATAGCAGTTTAATATTCGAATATCTGGGGCTCTCGAAGTATGCGAACCAAGATGGCGGACATCGGAATGTAATATGTGTACTAGGTTAGGGTTAGGCCATAATTTTAGGTATAAATATTACGGGAGGCTCTTGGCTAGTCTTCGAACTGATAATAGGACTAAAATAGGGAAAATTGGAAAAAAATTATCGCCTAACCCTAACCTGTTACCCATGTTGTGTCCGATGTCCGCCATCTTGGTTCGCATACTTCGGGAGCACCGAATATCTGGTAACACAAGGCGTGACACTCGCGGGCCGCTGAATCAAAAAATCAATCATTACACAACTCGCTTGTGAATTTATGACGACCACACGAGAATCTGCACAGAGTTACTAACAAACAAAGACGTAAAAATTGAGTCTTATATTTGAGTCATGCAGTTTAATTATTTATTTATTTTCAGTAGCTATGATATTGTCTCAATGAGCGTAGTGTGCGCCAATGTCGTGGGAACATCAAGTTTTGGTGGGCCGTTTATACAAGTATTTAATGAAAAAAACATTACAATAACTTTTGGACGAATATACGGTATTTCTAATTTGGGACCTCCTGAAGCATGCGCACCAAGATGACGCACAACCTGAACTCGCATTCGCATGCGAGCGAATTCAATCTTGCACGCTGAAAATTTGCAGTTGCTCACCAATGAAAAACGGTATAATCTTTGTATCCTACAATGCCAACAAATTATAGCTTCACAATTGTTGACTACATACTAGCTTGCAAGATTTAGCCTGATCAAAAAAAAAAACATTTCATAATTGCTCGGCGGTATGGTGCATCATGTTGAATGATAGGAATCCCGTGAGTATAGGTATTGATGAAAAGATCGCCAGACTCCTTGCAGACGCTTGTCAGTTAAGGCTATGATTCGGCGTATTGTTTATCCAATATTTTTATGCAAAAACACTCCCGAAGGTAATGTCAAAGTATAGAAATAATGTTCGGGGGTCAAAGGTCAAATGACCATTTTTGCTTTGATCCAAAGTATTTTTTTCGAACGATAATGGTATCTAAAGTTGCACAAACACTTTCAAGATTAATGACAATGTATAGAAATGATGTTTGGGGGCAAAGGTCAGGCGTCATTTTTCTCTGATTCAACTTATTTTTATTTAATAATTTTACATGAATGTACTTAACAGTACCTGTATCCAAAGTCGCACAAACACTCTCAAAATTAATGACAAAGTATAGAAATAAAGTTTGGGAGTAAAAGGTTAAACGTCCATTTTTGCTCTGACTCAACGTATTTTTTATCCAATAATTTTACGCGGAGTTATTGAACAGTCTGACAGTACGCTACTAAAGTCAAAGCCAGTTGCACGTGGGCGCAAGTGGTTTTGCACGCCAGGAATTCTGATTTGCACGTGGGAATTTAGGCCCGATTTCTCGTTCAAAAAGGCCATGAAATCCTGACTGGATCGTAACTCAAACCGTCTTGGGAGTCTGGTTCGAGAAGTACGATACCGTTATGTCATGCCGGTATCTGAAACTCTCCCAAAATAATGTAGCTAATTTGTTATTTGATTTTGCCTTGAATTTTTTTTTTTTTTGCCAAATTTAAATCCATTGCTAATTAAGATTTATGATATTGATAGTTTTGGTTTATCCAAATATATTATTCAAATTTAGTTGCATGAATCCCAATTTTCCAGGTAATTTAGGTGATATTATAGATCATATAAGTATACATTACATAGATGAATATTGATAAATTTTAAACAAACCAGATACATTTACCCATATTAGTCCAGAAATCCAATTTAAATTGTGTCCACATTCATGTAATGATAATCCAAGTATCCATGACATAACATCCAGTGACCATTGAAAACATTATACCATTCAACATATATTTTAAATTTATCCATTATAAGCATTTAATATCAAAAACAAAATTTTTAAAGAATTAGACCAAAATCAGAAAAACACCTACCATGCCTTGAATTTCGGTGCCAATACCGTAACAAGGCTAAAAGCTGACAAATACCGCACCTGGCCAATCAAGGAAAACGAACTAAACCTTACGCCGTCGCCACCTAACGGTTAAACCTTTGGTATGACTTGGTTATTTTTGTCAGGAATTTTCACTAAATTTATCTAAATTCAAAATGATTAATTGTTTCTCAAACTAATACCATAAAACTATGTGGATCGCCACGTTACAAAATTTAATGGGTACAAAGTGACGATTATAAATCAACTTTGAATGCGGATGCATGCGTACAATGCAGAATTCCCCAGGGCACAATAATTGGCCCATTAATGTTTGTATTATTCGTCAACGATCTTCCTCATGCCACCAGATTATTGGTCAAACTCTTCACTGACGATACCGGGTTATTTGGAAGTTCAGTCTCGCCAAATGACTTGCAAATACACATGAACTCTGAAATGCAAAAAATTGCAACGTGGATGACTAGTAACAAACTAACTATAAATATTGAAAAATCCAAATCACTTCTAATTAATCCCAAAAAAATGAAAGAAGTGTGCATTTGATCAAAATTACTATTAATGGTATATTACTTGAGAATGTGAACTCATACAAATACTTGGGTATACACATTGATAACCAGTTAAAATGGGCAGCTCATATTAACTACATTGCTGGCAAGCTTGCTAGAACAGCAGGTATATTATTCAAACTTAAAAAGTTCCTCACCCCATCAGCTATGCGATTAGTTTATTTTTCTCTCTTTCAATCATATCTTCAATATGGTATCGTAGCTTGGAGAAACGCATCTTCCACACTCCTTCACAGATTAGAGGTACTGCAAAATGAATCAATCCTAGCAATAGGCAATGCACCTTTACGATCCAGACTTGACCCATTGTATCACAGGTTAAAAATAATGAAACTTTGCCATGTCCATAAATTTGAGATATTGAAACTTATGCACCAGTACTTTGACGGCAAACTTCCAACCGCATTCGTAGGATATTTCACCAAGCAGACTAATGTTCATTCGTATTACACAAGATCTGCTTCCGAGCTTCCTTTCATGTACCGTAAGAGCGCCTAACTTCGGACAGTTCCTAACTTCGGACAAAATTTCTGAACGGCCATATCTTGGCTAAAACGCGCCGTATATTGCTAATTTTAATTATTATAGGTTGCGCTGTTATATCTACATCTATTCTCATTTTTTTTAATGTTGCATAATTATTTTTTGGTAAAAAAAACGGAAATTTTGCCGAAAATTTGACTGCCCGGCATTCAACGGCGCAGAGCGTCGCTCCTACTGAAGCTATCATCGTCAAAATACCATCATTCGGTAGAGGGCGACAACAATGTATATAATTTATTTGAGTGATAGCAAGATGTCGTTTGAGATTTAAATAAAACCTAAAATTCTGAGTTATAAATTCCGTAAGAATATTAAGATTTTACGCAGCGTCAAAAATTACGTCAACCTCGCGTAGATTATTTTTCGCTCACTTCCGACACGACGTCACACTGCGTCGCGGAAATGAATTTTGACGCCAGACACAACGGAGCCAATATGACAATTTCCGTTAAGATAAAGACGGCGTTCCAATGTAATATTTTTGTATTTTGTTCGGTCATGTATGAATATATGCCAAAATTACATTAATGAAAATACATGTCACACTTAATCGATGACGTTAAAAATCGAATATATAAAACTATGATAATTCCAACGTCCGTATGGCACAGTGCACTGACTTAACCATTATTTTATGATTAGTAGTCGAAATGACAGTTATTGAATACGGCCTGGGTGAATTTTATTCACTCGAAATTAAAAATAAATTTAATCTTCAACAAATAAACGGGATCTACATGTTTACAAGATTAAGTTGAATTTTAAATTAAACTTTACAATCGGATTTACC